GGTTAGCTGAGCTGAATCTGTTTAGCTTCAAGCAAAGGAGACTAAGGAGGGACATGATCCAGGTCTATAAGATTCTAATGGGTCTGAACACTGTTCAGCCAAATGGCTATTTCAATATTAGTTTAAATACTAGAACTCGTGGCCATAAGTGGAAATTAGCGGGAGAACATTTTAAAACAAATTTGAGGAAGCACTTCTTTACACAGCGGGTAGTTAGAGTATGGAATAGTCTTCCTACTAGTGTAGCAGAAGCTAAAACCCTGGGTTCCTTTAAATCAGAGCTAGATAAGATTTTAACAACTCTGAGCTATTAGTTCTCCCCAAACGAGCTTGATGGGCCGAATGGCCCCCTCTCGTTTGTAAATTTCTTATGTTCTTAACAGCTTGTCATTTTTGTCTGTATACGGTCGCACGTTTACAATTCTCCTCTGCTCTCTGTTTCGTACATGGCAGAGTTCCGCCCGGATGCGCGCACACAGATACGTGCGCGCACACTCCCACCAACAGACAGAGAGCGCACGTCGGAAAATATGTTGTGTCAACCACCCAAAAAGCAAACAAAAATATCTGCATTTTTAAAACGCTCCCAGGGTGGTGAAGATGGCAACACTCACTCTCCTGCGAGTTGCAGCTGGAGTAGCTGTACTATTCCGGGTCTAGAAATGTTCTTCCAGAAGCCCAGAAAGATACACTGCAGTGACAAAAGCTGCAGACTTTGTAGATAAAGAAATCTTCTGATGTTTAGTTCAGTTGTTACTGTATATTGACTGCTGTCATTAAAAGAAACACATGAACACCATGAATCCTGTCGGATTGGAGGATTGTGCAGATGTAGTGAAAGAACTTTTTCATAACGGGAAAACGCATGGTGAGATTTCCATTGCGCTGTAGCACTTAAGTGTTTCCACATTTCAACATTAACAGACACTATTTTTCATGCTAATGGTTTAATGAAATCTTACCCTGACTTGGGTGTCTGCCTTTGCATTTGACCCATTTTCATCTGAGGAAGATAGATGCCGTGCAGAACAGCTTTTTGGAGAGAGCTTTCCAGACATGTCTCTTCTCTTTGACACAGTGGTCAACAATGACCATAGAGTTTTTCAGGAGGCACTGTTTTATCTCATCAACATTACAGAGAGGTATATGTAAAATAAATATACATAGGGGAGTGATCATTCACATTTGTTATATGTATATATTTGTATATGTATGTTAATCTGATGTATGTTAATGATGCTTTTCATGCAATTTTGGGTAACTACTTGATTCTTTTTGTCTGACAAGACATAGCTTGGTATGAGAGGATCTCATTGACATAGGCACAAAAGAGGGCTTAGTGACCCCGCCCCACACACACACACACAAACACAAGTTGGTCTTCCTATCTAAATGGGGACCATCCATTCATTTCTATGGAAAAAACCATAATCCCAATCATGACACCCCAAATACAGAATTTATGGCATTTTTACTTTTTTGATTGCATTCACAGATGGTTATAAAACTGAGGTTATCCAAATGGGGGCCTCAAAAGATATGTATTTTTACTGTCTAAATATATGTATTCAGCTATTGTAAACATGCATGATGCTATCACAGCGAATGCGAGGCTGAGACTGAAGCGTTACCCTTTGTTTCCGCTGAGAGACGTGCCGCGTGACTCATTTCCCCGCGCATACAAGTTATCTTAGGTTGGCGTTCATGGTTTGACTTCTGAGATTCAGATCGAGTTATAGGTATTTTTTTTTTCAAACTGCTTGGTTCAACTTTTAAAAGAAATTCGAGTTTTAATGAGTTTGAGAACTGAGGTACCACTGTATCTTAGTAGGTCTCCTAACTATCAGAAGTCTTTTTTTTCTTTGTCTCACAACCCCCCCCCCTTACATTCTTCTGTTGGCCCTTATCTGTTTTTGTGGTTTGTTAGCACTTCTTTTTCATCTTTCCTATTCTTCGGTAAAAGATTGAATTAATGTGTATATTATAAATCTTGGAGAGCAGATCATTGGAATAAGTAACACCAACCATAATATGTCGTTTCCAGATGTTTAATTGAAATTGGGATTGGGATTACAACAAACTAACAGCCATGCCTATCTAGGTTTTGTGGGATTCAATAGAATTATAAAGAACATACAATGAATAGAGGAAAAGGAGAATATAGCTTAAAGCAGGGCATGATGAAAAGGGGGGGGGGTCATTCTAAAAAATGCAGTTAACTGAAACAACACCTGACTGGCGCGCCGGCAAGGCAAGGTTACCTAATCGGAACAGATAGGGGGGGCGACAGAGAATATCAGCGGCCCCTACTTATCTCTTAGCCTTCCAGAAGGACAACTACGAGCCAGCTAGAGTCACACATGTGGTTGTCAAGTAGAGGGAAGG